GGTCATCAAATATGAATAGGCGGGAGAGAATGGTTGGGTTAAGAGGGGGGCGGGCAGGCAGATATAAAATATTTTCGCGCGAGTGCATCGCGTTTTCGCCATGGTGGGGAGGGCTAAAGAATTTTCCACGATGGATACGAAGCGTCTGGAGAAATTTCAGATCCGGCAGACTACCGTTTCCCGCCACTGCCGCCCGATAACGACGCGATTTTTATAAACGGACTCGCTTTCGTGAACACGGCTCGTTCCATTTCACGCTTCAAGGATGACACCGTTTGCATTTTATCGTTCTTCCCCCGCGAGTCGAGTGTTTTTATCGAGGGATGTTTATGAATTAGAATTACACGGTTGATCTTTGTTCCAGATTTTTTTGTTCGAGTCGATGAACTTTTTTTTCCTTTCTTTCTTTTCTTTCGTTTTTCAGGGGGGGGGAGAAGAATCGATATCGATATGGATAGGAAAGATTGTGAAATTACGCGTTCGTTTACGTTTCCTCGAGAGATTTTGTTGAGATTTTTCTTTTTTTTTTTTTTTTTTTTTTTTTGGAAAGATTTATTTCTAGGAGAAAATTAATATCGAAGGATTTTAAAAATTATACATGAATATATGTAACGCGAGCAATCGTTTATATTTTAGATAGGGTAAGGAAGGATGATACTTTTATTGGGGATACCGTCAAGCGTAATACGTTCATTTATGAAATATCGAGCAACTCTAGGGAATGAATTTGAGATGCCGCCTTAAGGAACCCTAGGCAAATGCGGTGTATGGCTGCTCAAGAATCCCGGTTTATGGCGCTATCCATCAATAAAGTAATTTTATTTGCAGCCAGAACGTTCCTCATCTCTGATCCTCGATGAAATACCAAGTTTACGGGTAATCGATAATAGTTTGCCGTAACATAATCACCTATAAAACCATCCTTAAACGCAATATCTATCCCTAATTCCTATCCTATTCTCTAATTATTTAGAAATTTCAAAAAATTCTTCAACCATCTACAATTTTAAAAAAAGATTCTGCATTTGATCGACGACAAACCAGATCTTTCATTTATGATTATTAAAAATATGCTTATTAAAAATATTTATAATTATAGTTATAGAACAATCTTTAAATACCTAAAATTTGATCAACAAGACAAACAAGATCTCTTATTTATGAGTTTATTAAAGAAAACGCACAATTACTTAGAATTATAGATCAATCTATCTTTAAATAGATTTCGTCCTATTTATCTTTCAGTCTAAATATTTCCAAAAATTCTCTCGCGTTTTTCTCAAACCAAATCTCTTATTTAATAATCGTATTAAAAAAAATAATATTTCATAACCAGTCAAAGTCACAGATCAATCTTTAAATATCCTTTTTATCCGTCCTATTTATTCCAAATATTTCCAAAAATTCCCTCGAATCTGATCAACCAGACAAACCAGATCTCTTATTTACGATCGAGCTTACACTAAACAGACCTCATAATTAGTTACAGATCAATCTTTAAACGTCCCATTTATTCCAAATGACGAACGAAACGTGCCCCCAACGACGTTTTCAACCCGGCCTCGTTAAAAAAACAACGAACCAAGCGTTTTCTTGCCTTCTTGCCCAACCAACGATTTTTCTTCCCGCAATAACCGCGATCCCGCGTGTCCGCTTTATTTACGAGCCGCGAACAGGGAAGCGACACGCATTACTCACGTCGCGTCAAGGAGGATCGTTCGGGGAAACGGCATCACCGAGGTGGTCCAAAGAACACTCTTCCGCGAGAAGAGCGAGGGTGCACCACGGGGGACGTGCGCGTCGAAGAAAGAGACGAGACGAGTCGAACGAAAGTGGGGAGGAGAGAGACAGAGAGAGAGAGGGAGAGAAAGAGAGCGACATCACGGAATAGAAACGTGGGAAATCGGTGCGAAGAGATAGAGCGGGGGAGGAACGAAGAGAAGGAAGGTGGAGGAAAGAAGTGGCGGAGGCTTACATTTCCCACGGGATATCCCCTCCAACACTCCTTACTTACGGATTGATACTCAATTTCCAGCGAGTTTAGCCCCTATCGAGGGATCGTTGCGCCTGATCGCGGCGGCCCCTTTCGATTTCAAATAAATTCGATAATGGCGGATATATATATATATATAGAGAGAGAGAGAGTGGTAGGTTAGGTGGATATAGAAAGAGATTTCTCCGTCGTCTTTACCTTAATCGACAGGAGTGTCTTTTACCCCAGTGTCTGGCTTGCCGATGGATTCTAAGTAAAAGTATTATCCTTCGATCGTTCGATTCGAACGGCTCGTCGTATCGGCTCGTTCCATTCGTGGTTCGAGCTTTGGTTTCAATCGGTATAAATTCGACCGTTAATTACGCCCCTCTGTCGAGCTTGTGGCTTGCATGTTGGTGATGAATAAACCACGACGATGCTCGATTCGAAAGGTTACAATACCGTGCTCGTTAGAATTAACACCCTTGTCGTGTATTTGGGATCGTGCACTAAGTGCACTGTATTTCTTTTTTTTTTTTTTCTTTTTTTTCGAAAACTGTGATATGAATTCACGTGAATTTGTGTGTCTCGAATCTTTCCAAACGAAAGCAGCGTGTCAACTTTGCAAGAAAACTGTTCTCGTTTCGTGACGAAACGAGATTCTGACGAGTTAAAAGTAGACAGGAAACTGTCGTAGGCTGGCTCGATACACTCGATGCACTCGATGTCGTTAAATATCGTGTCGGATTTGGGCAATAACGTTAATGAAACAAGTGGAACAAGGCATGAAACTGGGGGAGCTTTTTCTAACGATCTCGTTTCGACGAGCTTGTTATCAAGGCCGCGCCCCGTAACGAGCCACCCCCTCGTTCGGCGGCCGCTTCAAGGGGCTCGGGTTAATTATAAACCTGTGAATTAACCGCATAAAGAAGTGCCAAGCGCAAACGGCGATCAACGCGATGCAACGATTCCGGCAATTACCGTGGAATTATATTAACCAGATCTTATCTGTGTATACACATATATATACATACAGAGGTGGTTGCGTATAGAGATGGCGCGCCTGCAGGCCTTTGTTGTTCGAGCGGAGGAACTCGCGTGAAACTAATTTCCAACGACGTGACGTGAATTGATTTTATTATGTAGGCGTGATGTAGCGCGTGGTCTTCTCCCTACCAAGTTTTCGGGACACTGGGAGCCTTGTTTTAAGAGATATCTGATCGATGATTGCGCGTACACGCGCGATTGATTGCACGGGTCGACAGGTGAAAGAGACGGTTCGTCGGCGTGTTCGTGGCAGTAGATCCGGACGTGAATGATCAGACGGTTATATACGCTCGAAAGGGTTCAAGATCGAATGGAGGGAGTTGGATGGAAAAATTGATCGAATTAAGAAAAATTAAGAATTAGTTTAGGCTCGAAGTTTAAGTTTTATCGCAGTTGCACAGCTTTTAAGATTTTTAATTTCATCGGTGAAAGAGAAAAATTGCAGCATTCGTGACATGTACTACGGATATTTACAAAAATCAACGTTTAATATTACGGTAATTAAAATTAATATTTATTATTCGTTTTAACGTTTAATTTAAAATTTACTTACTTTAATTGTCGTTTCTTCTAGGTATTAAAAGAACTTTTCGAGCAACGGGAGTTTCGTTTCATTGGGGTGAAATCATCTTTCTGAAATTCCGTAGTTCCGTTTCCATTTATTCGTGTACAAGATAATTTCTAATTTCGCGTGATAAAAATTTTTATCACGAAACTATTTCGTATTATCATTAAAAAAAAATAATTTAGTCAATAATAATATGACTAAATGTTTCAGGATTTAGAATAAGCACGTAGTTAGAGAACGAAGAATAATCTTCCTGTTCGTTTTCTCCAAACACACACACACACACACATTCACGCACAAAGAGCACACGTAGAGCAGAGCTTAAACTATCTCGAGCTTGATAAACGTCCGACATGACAGATGATTCGATTCGTCTTCTTATCAGCCATAACGGGCTCGAGTCAACAATATATCACTCCATTCAAAAACCATCGGACGATATTAAAATCTCTCAGCCTCTCCATCACGCCCTGTATCTCCTCGCGTCTGGAGCGAAACCCCCTCCAACTCTACTTGACGGTCTAATCGCTCCACCCGTTCATCGAGATACGATATCTTATTACTGTTGTTAACAACCGACTATCTTCGATGATAATACGGATCTTATTTGCATCGATTAGATTACGTAAGGAGCGAAGAGAGAGAGAGAGAGAACGTAAGACGTTGGAATCGAGCCTCGTTATCGGATAAAAGCCGCTAAGCCGCGGATTCTCGGCGATAATAGTTGCCAATAATTACGTATCCCCAAAGGAGATTCGTTCCATTCGGTGGTGATAGTCGACACGACTATCTGCCAGCTTTCTCTCTCGTTTCTTTCGTTTCGAAATAACGCGCTAGAGGGATGGATTCGGAAAATAATTTCGAAAAGGGCGAAAAGGTTAATTTTTGTTCGCATTGGAATTTAAACTTTCGCAAGGATGTGCTTGTTAGCGGTGCGTGATTTAAGGAAATGGGAGGAGAGGGGACATCTTTGTGTAAACACGATGACCTTGTTTCCGGGCTGGAACCCGGAGGCATTAAAGTTATTTAATATCATCGTCATTTTGACCTACTTGCGATCCAAACGACGTGTAATTATGGGACGAAGACTTGGAGCTTTTAAGGGAGATCTTGCGGATTAATTTGGAAAGATTATTCACGATTTGCATGTAAAAGTAGTGATAATTAATAGACGTTGTTCAAACTAGGTGCTCCGACCCAGTTAAAATCTAAAGAATGTATAATCTTGTAATATAACAGAAATATCAAACTTTCGAGAGATTCTTATGAATTAACGATATCATAATTAATCCTTGTATTTTCTCGTGATATTACAATTTAAATCGATCGTCGTCGCCCCACTTTCTCGTACTTGCCTCGTTCGAAAAAAAATTCACCAGAGGATATCTTTCTTACTCGTATTTTTACACTCACCGAACTGAATCCCATGACTTTGAGCAGCCACACGGTGAGCGCCAGGTTCAGGATCACGATCACCATCAGAGCGAGCACCAAAGAGTACAAACATCTCTTCCTCCAACCGTAAACGCCTAATCTGAATCCACTTTTGCAGGTCGAGGTGGCGGACGCCCGGTCCTCGAGGATCGGAGGCGTCGTCCTCGCCGCGGATTGCCGCCCGCTTCGACCGCCGCTCGACGACGCGGCGCACGGCTCGTCCGACCAACCCGCCTGTCCTCGAGCCATCCTGAAACAAGAAAGAGGTAAGAAACATATATATCGATTTTCTCTTCTGAATAACAAATTTCAATATCCATTATCCTTATATTTGAAAAAGACTTTCTTCTTGAGAGTAGAAATGTTATAGGGTATAAAAGTTCACTGAAATTTTATCTATAATTTTATCATTGAACGTTGCTAGCAGTGTTACTATTCTGTAGTTGGCATCCTTTTGTTTATCTTCGATACGCGATCGTCAATTGTTCAATTGCTGTTCTGTAGCCCGACACGTGCACTCACGTGTAACCAAAATATATCCATTCAGCTAAATATATTTTAGTATATTTATTAATATATTAATATATATTTCTTATTTATTGTTCACCACCGCATAACCAACCAACAAGAAATAACAACAATTTATTATTTTTTTTCAAAATTAATATCTTACTTCAATTTCCAATCAATCGTTAAATTAAACGTTAATAAAGAAAGAGCGTTTCTTTCGTTCTCTTCTGAAAGATTTAAGACTTGTTCATCGTATATTATACGGGTGATTAAAGTTAAAGTAACCAACCATGAAATTAACCGAGCATCGAATGCAAACGAGACTCGAACGAGAAGCCAAGTTGAAAAAAGTCTCGGGAAACTTTTAAGCAGATACACTAATAGAAACAGATGGCGGTGCGCTTGAACGTCGACGCACGAAGTTGCGCGAAGAAAGGAAACAAGGAGGGAAAAAGGAAACTGCACGGCATAACTGCGATTAATAAGGCCGTAATTACAGCCTCCTTCTTTCCCGATGATTTATCAACGATTTATGCCTCGTTCTCCCCGTACACCGGCTGCGGGAAATTGGTCGGTGGCGAGAAACGTAACCAGGGAAGGGAAGAGGCTCCGATCTCCGGTTCTTACTTCTTTCTGAAACACGGCCTCCATACGTGCCCCGCGTCCAAAGTCCCTTTTCCAACGGACTCTCCATCTCGCCCTGAAGAAAACGCTTCATTTTTTTTCCTTTTCCCCTCCATTACTCGCAACACGATGATTCCATAGGATCGGATTTTGTGAAAGGAGAGAGAAAAATAAAAATAAAATAAAAGGAATCGCGGAGGATTGGAGGAAAGGAAAGGAGAGCGGTGAAATTATCGCGGCGAATGAGGGACGAATGTGTATAAAATGGTGGAGGATTATCAAATGGCGGATAATTAACGGTTTGCGCGGGCGCGTGAAAAATAAGGAGAAGAAGGGGAGGGGCGATTAAAAGGATGGAAGAGATGCAAAGGGAGAGGAACTTATGTAAATCTGACTGCAAAATAGCGGATGGTAACTCCGGCTACGCTAATCTCTCGCCTCTGTTCGTCGCTTGACTCGAACGGAATCGTCTTTTGGCCCTTTCTTCTTTTTCTCTTTCTCGAAATCCGGTCTTGGGATATTCGTCTCGTTTGTGTACAAAAGTGTATTCGTGGGATACTTTTGAAGGGTGGATTTTGGTGGTAAGTTTAAAAGGCGGGATAAGAAAATTTTCGTTATTTAGCAAATTACAAGAAATTGGGTTGAACTTTTATTGATAATTCGTCGATCCTTCTTAATCGTTAAATTAAATGGGAAAAAATCTTAACAATAATAAAAATAAGCAAGTAAAATTTTTATGGATCCTCTACGTGTATCGATAATTTCTTAAACATATTTTCTTGCATTTTTTTCTCTTACCGTCGATAAAAATGAAATGGACGAAAATATGGAGCGGGCCAATTGGACAACAAGAAGAAACGCGGAAGAAGAAAGAGAAAAGGAGACGAGAGCACGAGTTAAAACATTCAATGCTACCCCCTCGCCTTCTTGCGGATAATTATACCTCTCTTAGCTGTAAAGAGCTCGGCCGCTCGAAATTAAAAGCTTCGAAGATAAGCTTCCCGCAGGAGGAGAGAGCTTGCTTTTCAGAATTAGAAAATGCACGATTTTCACCAAGATGCAACAGTCGGAAACGGTCGATGAAGGAAGTGGCGAGAGAAAGAGAGGGAGGGAGGGGATTGGTTGGCGATTACAGAAAGATTGCCGCAGCTGCACCCCTCATCGAACATTGTAATTCAACGAAGAGAGATCTTTATTCTGCTTTTTCCTTACCCGATTTTCCGTGATATTAATTTCTCGCTCGACCTGAACGATTCGAAGAGAACTTGACATCTTCTAAATTAATAATAATAATCGCGCTTTCCTCGAAACGAAGACTGTGGAAGGAAATGTCGTGAAATCGGTCGAAACCGAGAATTAATTCCGATATTTATCGCGAGATTAGCTCTACTTATACCCTTAGCTATAGCGTAGGCCGGTCGTTATCGTGTCAAGTGTACACAGCTTGGAAAACTTTTCAGACATCGATTACAAACTTTTAAGAGCTTCGATCCGTGGAACGTTATTTTTACACACGTTTAATCTTTATACGTAATCGATACGCGTATTAAATTATTCCGCAATCCCCTGCCGCTTTGCATTATCTTCTTTCTTTAGTTTTTAAAAAAAACCAAACGCGAAATAAACGTAGAATCCCCGGGTTTCTGTAACGTTTCGCGCAAACGAACGGTTTTCTTGCGAAGAATATCCGTGCGAATATTTAAAGTTGGATCGAGAACGAAGGATAGTTGGAAAATTCGAAAGTCGTTACCACTATCACGTGGCGCGAGGATGAATCTCGCTCGTTTAAGGTTCAAGGGACAATTACAAAGCGGAAATATACGTCGGATCATAAATAGCGCGGGACGTATGTTAAACGGGCGTTGGGAACTTTTGACGTAACGCGAAGTTAGCGCGGCCACCGCCATAATTTCAACAGTTTCAAGCCCAAAGAGCATTACAAGTTGTGAAATTATCACTGCACTAACGTACGACCGCGTTTATTTATTTATTTATTTATTTACTTTTCTTCTCTCCCTATTCCTTTTCATCCCCCCACGATGGCCGCCCAACTTGCGTGATAAATAGCGTATTTTGTTTTTTTTAAACGAATTGTGAGCTTTCGAATTCCAAAATGGCGAAGAAGGTGAATTTTTCTTTTACAGGGAAAGTTTGTTTTTGCTGTAATTACATATACATTTCAAGATATGTCTACATTATCTCGAAAAAGTAACTGGTTAAAAGTTTCGAATAAAGCAATTAAGTAATTACTTGTTAAAATTGATTCGGCATTATCAATTATTTGCAATTATCGTTGTGTATCGAACAATAGCTTGTCGAAGTTATTCGTAGCATTCGCCGCTAGTTATTCGACGATGCTTTGAATACTAAATTGCCAATTGGATTAACTTCGTTCTCAACCGTTATAATTTTTCTCTCAATCTCTCAAGTTTGATCGAAACTTTCAAACCCTTACGTGTTCAAACTCAAACATCGGTTATATAATCGATCTCGAGATTACCTATTAAGAATTCCATTATACCCTTATTCTTGCTCCAAACTTTTCCCAAACATTAGTAGAAATAACCGTGGATCACGAGATCCCTTTACACTCCTTTGAACGCGAATAACAAGCGGTTCGAAATGAACCAAGTTGTAGAAATTTACAATTCTTTCTTAACAACACGATGCGTATCAATCGTATGCGAGAAGAGAATCCACCCCCGAAACACATTCGTCTCGAAATTGTCGACCCTTATCGAGAAGAATACAGCTGGAACCACCTCGACTCATAAGTTTCGCGATTAAACACGTATCTTATACGAACGTACAAGTTGAAAGAATAATTGTCGGTGAAAAAAATTCGAGAGGACCACTCGACTCGAAAATCCAAAAAAAAAAAAAAAAAAAAGGTCAATCTTCCCTTCAAACTCGTTGAAACTGGGATAGCACAATGGAGGCACGAGGCTCGGCCGATTACGACGATCGACAGGATTCTTTTGAAACGGCTCGAATAGGGGCCAACGATCACGCTTCGAAGGGGATCTCGGTCGTTTCAACCCTCTGGATTCCTAGAGTGTATTAGAAATTATTGGTCGGGGAATAACGCGCGAAAAAAAAAAAAAAAGGAAGCAGTTTGGAAAATTTGAAAGAAATTTGAATGATAGCGATATAGGTAGTGGTATTCGCGTGGTCGTTGAACGAGAAGTTTCCGAGAGGTGCACTTAACGAAGCCTGAAAATCCAGTGGCAGAGGAATTACATTAAACTCTGAATAAACACGGAATAATCTCGTTGAAAACGAGACTCGTCCTCGTCGGTAAAACCAATTAGTCAATTCGTTATAACCGTTCGTATATAAAATATAAGCATTTTTTTCTTTTTTCCTCTTTTTTCCTCCTCCCTCCTTCCGTGTGAATTAATCACGTTGTACTATATTACACGATGCTCCTCAATGCTCTCTCTCTCTCTCTTTCTCTCTCTCTCGTTACCATATCATCTTTGCGCGAGAATTAACCGGCCGATTATTCGAACAAAATCCTCTCTGCGCGACTTTTAATCGACACATTTTCAATCAAACGACGAATCCCACGAATTCCCTCAAATAATTCTCTCTCCCTTCTAAAATAAAAATTATCGTCAAACTTACGCAAACACCGTCCTCCTCTTCCATTTCGAAAATCTTCACGGTTCGGAAAGAGCGGGTATAATCTCGACAAGCATCAATTATTTTCTTGATAGCGTCGATTAAGAGTGGAAAACCGCGACTCTTCGTCGAAAGGGAAGAGGAGATCGGAAAGAGGGAAGGGGTGGTCCGATTCCAGGACGATAGATAATCGTTGTTTGGGTCTGAGGGCGCGGCATTGCCGCAAGCCAAACATAGTTTAACGCGAATTGCCGTTAATAAAGGCCCAGTAGGTCGTAGAGAGAGCTTCTCCCTTATTTCTTTCTTCAACTCTCTCTCGTTCTCTTTCTCTTCCAGGCTATTCTTACCTCCTCCCTCCCCCTAGGGGTAGGACAGCGCGGAAATTGCTCGGCAATTTCCATGAAAAATGCCAGAGGTTTACAGTACGACCGCAACGAAACGCGGCCATCCTCGTCTGGTTTGCCGCGGAAATTACGCTACCTTCCTTCCTTC